GGCAGTGGGTTGGGGCGGGCTGTGTGGTCGGGCAGTGGGGTGGGGTGGGCTGTTCTGTACGGCAGTGGTTGGGTGGGATGGTAGTAGGGCCGTAGGGTGAGGAGAGGCAGCGGGCATGGGAATGGGTGGGGTAGGTTGTACCATCGTAGGGACCCCGTGAGCATGGGATGACTCAAGCGACGAACTATCCGAAAAGATTGGGAGGACACCAAAGAAAGATTTAGGAGGGGTAGTGCATGACGCATTAGGAGAAGACCCATGGGAATATGGAAATTGGTTTTCTTGGAATTCGACATGACGTGACACATAGACACGACTGGTGGAGAGGTCATAGCAACGAAACCCCTTGGAAGAGGAATCATACCCGAGGAATATACAACGTTTGGAACGTGGTTGAAACTTGTGGGTGATTTCATGACGGAGACATGGGTATGCGAGGCAACCAAAAACACGAAGGATAGAGTAGTCAGGGCGTGTATGGTAGAGGGATTCATATGGGGATCGGTTTTGAAGGGACCGCTTTGGCATGCGATTAATCAGAAAATTTGTCGTAGCCAAAGCTTCAACCCAGAATTTAGCAGGAAGGAACGCCGTGCACAATAGTGTCACGAGAGTCTCAACTAGGTGACGATGTTTACGTTCAGCAACTCCGTTCTGTTCAGGGGTGTAGGGACATGATTTTTGATGTAGAACCCCCAAGCTTTGTAAAAATATCCCAAATCGGTGATTAATATATTCACGACCATTATCAGTTCTAAAAATTTTAATTTGAGTTTGGAACTGAGTTTGGAACATAGCTTGAAAACTTTGAAAAGCATGAAATGCATCAGATTTACTCTTAAGAGGATAGAGCCAGCAAAATTTGGTATAATCGTCAATAAAATTAATATAAAATAGAAATCCCCCAAATGAGGGTACAGAAGTGGGTCCCCATACATCAGAGTGAACTAAATCAAAAGGGGAAGATGCTTTTGTTTCAGATACAGGAAAGGGAAGCTTATGGGATTTAGCAAGTGAACAAGAATTGCAATGATCAAGTTCTTGGAATTTAAAACCTAGTTGTGCTAAGAAGGACTTGGTAACTTGAACAGATGGATGACCAAGACGACAATGCCATTGATGAGGGGTGACTTTGACCATGTTGACCACGGGTGACTTGGATGCTGGAATGGAGTATAGACCACGCTCACAGGGGCCCTTGAATAGCACTTGATTGGTACGGTTGTCCCGAATCGTAAAGTCCTTGGATGTGAAAAGGAGAGAACAGTTATTATCTTTGGTAAATTGATGGACAGAAAGAAGATGGGCATTAATATTAGGTGAGTGGAGTAAATTGGGTAAGTTGAAAGTGTGATGGGAGGTGGTTAAAATACCTGAGCCTGTGTGATTAATGGGATAAGTATTACCTCCCGCAGTAGTTATAGAGTTGGTGCCTTGATATGGTGAAGAAGACTGCAGACGAGATAAATCAGAAGTCACATGAGCATTTGCCCCTGTATCCAGATGCCAATTCGAATTGATGTCAGTGGACTGAGTGGTGTAGTATGCCTGGGATGGACCAGAGTAGGACTCATCAAAGCGGTGCCAAGAATCCCAAACCGCATGACCCGGCTTCCCACAGAGCTGACAAGTGACGGAACCAGGCTGTGGCCCCCCTCTGCCATGGTGATCATCCCGCTGGTGACCAGGAGGACGGCTGCCCCTACCACCGTACGCACCCCTGCCTCGAGAACTGCCCCTACCGCGGTAACCACCGCGTCCCCGGCCGCGAAAATTACCCCGGCCAGAATTTGTGAAAAGGGCATTGTGAATTTCCGAAGAAGATGACGAGGCAGAACCTGTGATTTGTAATTGTCTCTCAAGATTGATGTTGAGTTCTTCTGATAGAAGCCAAGCCGAGACTTGATTTAAATTGACATTCCCAATATTGGTTCGAATGTTCTGTTTCAGAGAACTATAATCCGCTGGCAGTCCACGGAGTATGCAAAGGATGACGTCTTGGTCCGAGATATGCTCATGAGCTAGAGTAAGGGAGGAAACAATATTCAAGACATTGTCAAGATAGGTTTGCATGGAATCACTCCCTTTTTGAAGACTATGGAGACGTTCTTTCAACTGAAAAATATAGGTGCGAGATAGAGAATTATACCGTTGCTCAAGGTGAGTCCATATAGCTGCAGACGTGGGAAGAGCATGGATGTGCGTTTGAACAGTGGGGGAGACGATGGCCAATAAACATGCACGGATCTGGGCATCGACAATCAGCCACGTCTCATAGGCTGGATTTGCCTTCATGACGGGTGGATCTTCCTTGCCGGAGGTAGCAGCTTTTTCTTCAAGGAGAAGAGAGGGAGGTGCCGGTTCCGTTCCATCCACGTAACCGAGAAGACGATGAGCCATAAGATTAGCGCGAATGGTTGCTGACCAAGAGGGAAAGTTTGAATCATCAAGTTTCGCCGGAGTAAGAGATTGGAGATTCCGTACGAATAGCTTGAGGCCAGTGGGGAGGTGATCCATCGGATCAGCTGTTGTGGGAGCCATGGTGACTGCCGAAGAAGATGTTGGGGCTGAAGAAGGAGCTGCGGCTGAGAGACAGGAAGGTGTTGCCGCCGAAGATAGTGCTGCGGCTGAGAGGAAGGTACTGCCGAACAAAAAAGTGTTGCGGCTGAGAAACCCTATGCGTGAAGAATTTTTTTTTTCTTCTGCTTGCGTTAACACATGAGACAGAGAGGTGGATCGTGAAGCTCTGATACCATGTTGAATTAATATGAATTAATGGATTTTACTTAAGCAATAGAGGTGAATACATGTGAGTATATATAGCTAGAGATCCTAACACAATTAGGATTAGGATTCTTCTAATATGGTAACTAACTATAATACAATTCTACTATAACTAGGAATATTACTATAGTGTCTAACAACCGTGATAATCGATCGCCTAGGATGCATGATCAACCATTCTGTCGTTAGTTCTTGTCGTTAGTTCTGGAAGACCGTGATGGTGGACCGTGGAGGAGCACGGTTGACCATTACGTCTCAGGCATTAAGTGGGGTTCGGCGTGAATAGTAAAAACCGTTCAAGCCTTGAACCGTGTGGGACAACGGAGAACCGTAGTGTAGCAGTGGAGTTAAACCATTTGTCGTGAACAGCGTTGGTGGTCAACGTTGGTTGGCCGTTCTTACCGATGGTCGACTGTTGAAGTTGTAGATCTAGCTTCTTCCTCCACGAGGTCCACTCGGTGGACCGTGACCGTATCGAGCCCAATGGTCTACTTGTCATCGGTTTGTGAGTTCCAAATTCCATTTTTAATTATTTAAAATATATTTTCCTCTATTTTCACCAACATAAGGCATTGATAAGGTGATATAACATAAAAGTATCATAGTTTTAACGTAAGGTTCAAGTAAAAGTCTTCGTAGCTTATTTTCTGGAATTACGACGATAACGATAATAACTACAAGACTAATTATATACATATGAATGATTCTACAAAATCTACGTCGGACATAATTCTAGGGTACAGAACTTGAACTTCGTAGGGAAACACAAAGATCCTAACACCTCAACTTATGGTCAATGAACGAACGTCACTATCTACTTCTAGCTTTCCTTGTCTTGAGGTCTTCTCTTCGAACCTTGATAACACAGAGATAAATGGAGTGATAAGAGCGTTAAAATGAGTATAATAACGATAAGGATGGAACATATACTTACCTAGAGTTAGCTTTTCAAACATTCATTAATGGTGGAAGGAGAAGCTTGAAGGAGAAGAAGGAAACTTGCAAGAACTTTAGGAGTGTTTTAGGTGGTGAGATGAAGAGAATGGAGTCTCTTTTTTATTTAAGAAAACTTGCAGGAACTTTAACACATCACACCCATACACAAAAGGCCAAGAGGTACGCGAACGGGTCTTCCATTCTTTGTGGGACTAGAGAGTGAATCCCAGAATTTCTTTAGGGGAATGAATGTGGGTTTGAGGTAAAGTCCTTAATCTGAAAGAACTTGCTTATCTGTTTGAATTTGGGATTGTTTTCTAAACGGGGTTTGATTTTGAAACTTATCACGTTTTTGAAATTGGGAAAATAAATGGAATCCAATGACGCGTATAAAATAGTTTTCTGAATATTTTTATTTTTCATACCAGCGAGGCCCATACAGTTAAAATTGGCAATTTAAATAGTTAATTCTTTTAAATCAGTTTTCATGGCGTTACAGATATACCATTGATTTTCTATCTTTGAGATCTTTCCCTCAAATATAACTTTGATGATAGAATATTAACTTTAAAATTCTCCACAATTGTAGTCTAAAACATTATTCATAATTTATCTAATTAAAATATAATTGTATTTCAGTTTTTAGTCTTAAAAACAAGTGGTGGACTAGTTTTAATGCATTTTGGCTATCTTCTTTGATTTTTTATTACTCTCCAACTCATATTTAGATAATAATTCCCAGTTTGAATTTCAAAGCATTAACATAAAGTTGCTCATTTCTTAAAATATTGATATTGGAATATATTTTGCATATATTCTTTTATTAATTTGTTTCCTTGTAGAGTTATATTTCTTTAGGAAGTTTTGGTAGCTATTGTACTATTCATATGAGTTGTTTTACCAATGAAAGCAAGTGCTTCAAGTGCAAAATTATACTCCGTACATGGTATTAGAGCGTATTTTAGGGAAACCCGAAGTCTCTTGATCGGCGAACCCCATCGACGAACACTGTCGATCGTCGCCGACCGTATCTCGTCGGTCGTACTCATCATCGTTGATGTCGTTCTCGTCAACTTTTTCTTCATTTTCAATCTTGTCGCCAGCAATCCCGTCCACAACCATGACAAAAGAGACTCCCAAGAAGACATGGTTGATTCAAGATCCTTCCATGATCTATTACCTTCATCATTCAGAACATGGTGGTAATGCGTTAACCAAATATCTCGTAAAAAGTGATAATTATGAAATTAGGGAAAAGGTCATCTGCAATGCTTTAGGGGTTCATTGGAAAGCTATTTTTTAGTACCTTGAGGAGTCCTCAAACACAGATGAACGTGAATTAGCTACTTGTGAATCAAATAACTCTATGGGGTCCATATTCTCCTTTTTACTTAATTCATTGTGATCTATAGGGTCCATATTCTCCTTTTCATCAGGGGCACATTATTTTCTTACTATTGTTGGTAATCACTCACGTGTTGTTTGGGTTAATCTCATAAAAGAAAAAAGTGAGGTTACATTTTGTCTCAAAACATTGTTTGTCATGATTCAAACAAAATACCATAAAACTATTAAAGTGGTATGATTTCATAATGGCATTGAATTCCTAAATACCTCTCTTCGTACTTATTATGATTCCATGGGTGTGTGTATTCAAATATCTTGTGTGAGCACTATTAGAATTATTGTACAAAGAACACTGCGGAGCAGTGTTGATGAAGAACTCGATAGTATAACGAATCGCATATGAACGCTTTTAGATCAAAGTTATTTCGGGGTATACGAAATACTTCAATCGGATAAGACGTTAATCAACAACAAGCACTCGAAATCTCGTCACTCAATCCATACAACGAGACTCTATTTTATAGAGTCAAAAATTCATGACCGGACATGAACGTTTGCGTAGACGCGTACGTTCACGCGGAGAGGAAGAAATGTTCGTGCGGATTTGGAAAAAGGGTTTTGAACGAAAAGTCTCATGCGGTTTGGAGTCTGTTTCGAAGTTTATCCACTCGTTCGAGTCCTTTACTGTTTTGGACTCCGATATCACGGAAATCTTAAAGATTTTCATAAAGAAACAACGTCCGAAAAAAAAATTTCTAGCTGCCCTGGTAGATCGACCCAATGCCTGGGGCTCTGCCCCTTGGACCATGCCTGGGGCTCTGCCCCTTGAACCATGCCAGGGGCAGCCTCCCCTTGGACCCCGCTACCCGGGGGCAGCCGCCCCCAGACCCCGTTGTGAATTTGTAATATCGTTGAACGAGCGCGCACTCTGCACCTCCTAACTTGTTTGACAACGTCTATTAAAATTCTTGTCCGATCTAAGTAAATCCAATCACACAAAATAAACCGATGACACTAAAATCAACAACAAGCACTCCACACAGAAATGGGTGAGTTGAACGTAAACACAGATACAGTTTAAACGTCGCTCGCACTATTATGTTCCAGGCATCCCTTCCTTGGGAGTTTTTGGGGGAATGTGTCAAAATTGTTGTTTACCTCATCAACAGATTTCCAACCAAACTTCTTGATGGTAAGTCCCCCCCTTTAGGTTCTCACAAATAAAATTCCCGATTTGAGTAATCTGCGTGTTTTTGGGTGCCTATGTTTTGTTCATCATATTTCCAAAACACCAAACAAATTTTTTCCTATAGGTATCAAATGTATTTTTGTTGGTTATCCATATGGCACAAAAGGGTGGAGGCCCATGGAGGGTATATGACCTTGAAACTCATCATTTTTTTCATACCAGGATATATCATTGAATGAAACCAATTCCCATTAAAATACCCTCACCAACATTTCCTTCCTCTTGTCAAGCACTCATGAATTCTTTTTCCACATCTAATTTTCCGGTGTCGTCCCCCACCACGACGACCCGCTAGCCCACCTCTGCCTCCACTCCGTCTTCGCCTTCTCATGTCTAGTCTTCATATTTAAGTATGAGGTGCAATACCTTGATTTGAAAATAGATGGATTGGGAAAAGAATAAGCTCAAAAGGATTGATAGTACTACTCATACCAACAAGATGCATCTTCTTTTCAAGAGCTCATGATAAGTCCGTTTTGTGCGCACTTATCTTCTCTATATTTAACGTGTTGTTGTCCAATTTTGGATTAAACAAATCAATTTCTCAATGGTTTTTATAAGTTTTTATTTATAATTGAAAAAGTGCACAAAAGTTATGTCTAGTTTTAAATAGAATAAAAATTGAGTCAAAAGTGGTACAAAAAGTGTAAAAGATTGTGCAAATGGAGTGCAACGGAGCAAAGGAGCAAAAGATGGTGAAAATCCTTGAAGTGAAACATGTGTATTCAACTTTGGAGATGCACCCCGTCGAAAGATTTGAGGTCAAACGGATTGAAAAAGCAACAAAAAGAAATTGTTTGGAAAGAAAGAGTAAAAAATGTTGATTCAATTCAAAATTAATTCGTTTGACCCAGATTTGTTCGGAATTTGAAGTCGGCACAGAAGGAAAAGTTGTTCAGAATAAAATTTTGAGCAAGTGTGTATTTTTAGAAAATATTTTCGGACCGGATCAAAATCCGGCCAACCAGGAGCTGCCACGTGGCGCGACCTGGCTGGCCGGCCGATTGTGGAAGCAGGGACATTTTGAGGCAAGTCAGATTTGAGGAATCAATAAAAAAAATTGATGAAAGTAAAGAAGGAAGCAAGCTAACGCAAGTAAGAAAGAAACAAAAAAAATATAAAGGAGAGATTGCATTCATTGGAAAATTAGAGCCGTCAGCCGCACCTCCTCCCTTTTCAGCACAGGCGTGCGCCTGGACCTCAGGCCCACGCCTGTCAGAGGCCTGGACTGAAAATTTCTCCTATAAAAGGAGGCCTTCGCCCTTCATTTAAAATCAAGCCTTCTTCCGGGTCTTTAAGGCCCGGAACTCCATTCTCCGCTCTTTTCTCAGTTATATTTTAATATTTTAGTTTAGTTTTGTTCCGGTTGTCCCAAAGTGGCTCCAACTCTGCTCTCTGTTGTAAGTTTTAATACTTACAATTTTAATAAAATATTTTCTTTTGTCATACAATGTTAATATTTAGTATGGGTTAGGACCCGAATTAGGGTCCTGGCTAAATTTGGGCATATACTCTGTATGTTTATTTAATACTTGGAATAATTGTTCTAGAATTATTTTTATTGTTAAATTAATTAATTATGTCGAGAGAAAAATTAATTAATAATTGGAAATTAGTTTTTGCCTTGTCTATGAGGATATAAAATTAATTAAGCTAAACTTTTTAGAACACATTAATGTTGCCTTGAGAGAGGATAAGTTAATAAAATATTTGTGACAGAAATATTATTATTTCAATTATTGATTAAATATGTGACAACAGTAGTTAACTCAGATGATGCCTTGGCCCGAAGTCTAGTCCTATACCCGTACTATTTATTTTCTTTTTCTCAAAAGCATCCAGTAGTTTATTTTATTATTATTTTCAAATCAAATCGAGAAGACTTTCAGACCCGTCCTAACCTTCGTCTAGTTAGAAAAATTAGCTAATTCCCTTCGTCCACTCCTCGAGAGACACGACACTCGGAGAAAACTAACCCTTCATTGGGAANCCTTGAGAGAGGATAAGTTAATGAAATATTTGTGACAGAAATATTATTATTCCAATTATTGATTAAATATGTGACAACAGTAGTTAACTCAGATGATGCCTTGGCCCGAAGTCTAGTCCTATACCCGTACTATTTATTTTCTTTTTCTCAAAAGCATCCAGTAGTTTATTTTATTATTATTTTCAAATCAAATCGAGAAGACTTTCAGACCCGTCCTAACCTTCGTCTAGTTAGAAAAATTAGCTAATTCCCTTCGTCCACTCCTCGAGAGACACGACACTCGGAGAAAACTAACTCTTCATTGGGAAAGTTGACTTACAGAAAAACTCAATCATCAGCTCATCACCTGGAAATTCCAAAGTTAAGCGTGCTTGACTTAGAGAAATTTTAGGATAAGTGATCCCTGGGAAGTTTCCTTGGGCGCGCACGAGTGAGGACAAAGTGTGCGGGAAAGACTTGTGTTGGTTTGTGGGTCAAGTCTACAATCTTATGAGCGGATGCTTACGGCCAAGGTGGGGGCCGGTGTGTTACGTGGGGTGTCTTTTTACTATCTTTTTTTACTAAAAAGTTTCATGAAAAGTATAAGGGTTTTATTGGAGCTGTTGGTGCTCAATCTATACCCAAAAATTTCCAGGAGGTAGTGCAGCATGCCTCATAGTGGGAGGCTATGGCCCAGGAAATTTTGGCTTTGGAATTAAACAATAAATGGGAGATTACTTATCTACCTCCGAGTAAATAACATTGGGGTGTTAGTGGGTTTTTCGTACTAAATATAAGACTGATGGAACTAAGGAATGTGACAAAGCAAGATTGGTTGTGATTGGAAATCATCAAGAATAGGGCACTGATTATAGTGAGACACTCTCTCGTAGTGAAATTGGTAACCGTGTGTGTTCTCCTATCTGTGGCTATGGCACGCAACTGGGAAGTTCACCAGCTTGATGTTAATAATATCTTCTTACATGGTGATCTGCGCAAAGTTGTGTATATGAAACTACCCCAGGCTGCGGTCACACCCACCCTGGAAAGGTATGTCGTCTCTGCAAGTATCTTTAAGTCTTGCGTCAATTATAGGACCTCAGGCACTACCAGCTCTTCTAAAACCAATTTGTGTCAAAAGAGACGCATACCCTAGCCTTATAATGCATTTAGTAGACACAAGCGTCTACAACATTCGATTGTGACTTGGCCAAAATAGCCTCCGCTACGGGACAATTGATGCACACATTCGATTGAGAAGTTATGAATGATGGTTTTTGCAATATAAGGCTCAAGACGCCGGTTTTCCGACTGGTGCAGTCGCACTAAACCTTTCTCTTGATGGTCGGTAGTTCACTACTATCGATCGGTATCTAGCTACCGCCGGAGAGTAGGTTACACGAAGTGTCTTATCACATGAGGTTACATGAGGTGTGGTCGATCGCACCAGACCTGTCTCGTGATGGTCGGTAGTTCACTACTGCCAGTCGGTAGCTAGCTACCGCTGGACAGTAGGTTGCTACGACTACCTCCTGAGATCTTGCTGTTCTGTTTTGTTTTTTTTAATGTTAAGGATGTACTCCGAGACTAGTATATTTGTATGACGGTAAGTGTTGGTGTTTACACCTTACGTTAGGCCGCTGTTTATTTGTTTGTGTTGATCCAGCACTATGTGAATTGCTAAATACTATGGGTTGATCCAACCTTGAATCCAATGGTAAGAGGAGGGTGATCTAGCACACAAAATACATGTTACTCGGGTGTTGATCCAACACTATGACCAGGGGTAAGTCTACCTAGAGGAACTCTAGGAGTGACGTAAGTATTAAAAACTAAGAGCTTAATCCATGTGGAGCCTACTCAGTCCAATGGCTATCCATGCAAAAACGTACGTATGAGTATCGTTGAACTGCTTGGTGATCCATCATGTGGGGATTCCACCCACCCAACAGAGAACTCCTTCATTGGTTAAACATGACTCACTAATCTAGTGGGAACGATCATGACTCTAAGAGAAAGTAGAAAGTCCTTAGTCTAGAATGGATTATAGGTACAGGTTCTTGGTGATCCCATTACCTCGAAGAATCCACTGGTTTGACGAGAATGAAAATTGCAAGTGCTAGGTAAATTATGTGATGAACTATATGTGTGATTTATATGTTAGTGCATGATATCACATGATTGTTATGGATTGTGGGTTTGCTTATTTGTTTACTTTGTCGTTAGATATTTCTCACTCAGCGTCATTGTTGAGCATGTAGTATATTTATTTGTTACACGCACGCAATCAGAAAAATAATGAACCTAGAGCAAATCCCGGAAGGCAATGAGGAGGAAGAGATGTGGGAAGATATAATTGATGATTTTGATTTAATCTTTATTACTCGTTAACTTGTTACATTTTCGTGCATGAGTCCCAGGTCTTGTTATTTTAAATACTTAAGTTTCTGCACTATTAGGGTTTTACTCCGATGATGCATTTTTGTTATGAGAACTGTTTGAATGCTTCAAATGTAACACCCTAATCCGTACAGGTCTGAGCACTTTTCGGACTAAAATATAAACTTGGTATTCATAAGCATTCAAAATATTTCAAACATTTTAAAACTTTATTTCATAATAAATTATTCGGAATAATAATGGAGTATTTAAAGTTGCGGAAGCTTAATAAATCACAATTACAAATCATAATAAATTTTATGTCTTTTAAAACACCAATTCAAATTTTCACATCCATGCCGACCATCTCGCCCCATCTACCGCCAGGAATACATCACTTAATTCTTTTTATTTACCTACGTGTAGCAAATAAAACATACTTGTTGAGGACTTGTCGTGCGGTCCAAAACAAATTAAAAATTTATAATATATATCCTTAGCTAACCCCCAAAATATAATCAAATAAAAATTATAGCTAGGGCAAGCAAGGGTCGATCCCACGGAGAAAGATTGTACTTTTTAAAACCAATTTAGCATGCAAACACATTGTCACGAATATAAAACAAATAAAAGCAAACTAACTACTACACATATGATATAAGACTTATAAAACTTATAATAAAACTTATAACTAAATAAATATAAAAACTTATAAATATAACTTAGTACTTATAATATAACTTAGTAAAAAACTTATATTATAACTAAAACAATGTAACAGGGGGGGTGAATAAAAAGTAAATATATTTTTGGTTTTTTTATTTTCTTATTTTTTTGGTTTTTTTGATAAAATGGGGAAAAACAAGCTCAAAAGATAATCAATTTCTCCAACTAAGGTAACCCAAGGAACACCGCCAAAAACCCGAAACAAAATTAAAAAGAGAACAAACACAAATTGAACATTACACGTATAGTAGGTACATAGACAATATATTACGTAACTTACGCACTTAAGAATAGAAAAAATCAATCAAAGGCCGAGTCGATTCATTTCCTTAACCACGATATGGAGGATTGTCAACTCTCCACACGGCCCGGAGTCATGCAATTCAAAGGCCCGTTTTGAAATATACCTTAGAACCCCAACTCTCTATTCAAGCATAAGAACATACTTCCACTATAGAAAAAGTTTATAAAAGAGAGAATCTATTATGCATTCAACTCTCATACATAATCTATTCACAAACCGCCAATACCTTATGTATTTTAATATACTTTTTCTCCTAATGATGAGCATATTTCACAGATTTCCATGAACTTCTCAAACGAATGACGCTTTTTCTATTCACATAGATGAACACAACATATTTTCATAAAATTGAGAATTATTTTTGAGCTTAAACAACTTCAAATTAATGAAAATGACAAACAAACACACGAGAAAATAACAATCACTCAATAACGAATTCTAAGAAAAATGAATCATATTATGGGGCTAAGAAGTCTAAAATTCTTAAAATCAACAAACACAAATCACAAAAAAAATTCACGTATGAATTCGGAGTTCATTTAACTACCTTATGGAGCTAAAATAGCTTCAACAAAAACCAAATTCCACATACCAACCTACTTATGAAATCAAATTATGCAATTCAACCAATTCAACAACAACTTGCTCAATAATTGAAGAAAAACTAGTTTGAATCAATTCTCATTCATAAGGGATTTAATATAAACATAAAAAAAACCTAAAAGAAGAACCCCAACCATTTTTGGAATTTTTGAAACAAACACAACAAGCAAAAAAATGTAAAATTGAATAAAAAACAAACTTTTACATAAAATTGGAGAAGAAAAGATAAAATTGACAAATAAGAGTTACCAAATTGTTGAAGAAGATAAGAAGATGAAGAAATTGGAGCTGGAGGAGACTGCCCACCGCTCGCCGGAGCTTTTGCCGTCGCCGGTTCGCGTCTGCCGGCCGCCACCACCGCCCCCGCGGCCTAAGCCGCAGCTCTTTCCTCGTTGTTCCCCCCCTCGTTCAGCTGTGATTTGTCTTCAATTTATAGCCGAAGGATTGTTCCGTTGATTTCTTCCCGTTGGCAAATGATTCTAGCGAAAAATGTGGGGGAGCGTTGGAGCTTTGAAGGAATTTGGCGGGGAGACGTTGAAGATCGGAGCTCTGGTCCGCCTATTGTGCTGCTTGCGTAATTGAACAAGGAGAAGCTGCTGGATTTCTTTTTCCTTTCTTGCTGGACGTGAAATCAAATTGGGGGAGTGGGCTGATTTTCTATTGTGTTGGGTTTGGGCTCCGGCCCAAAATCAATCTCTTCTTTCTAAACTTGAACTGCATTTTGGTCTTCTTGCTACATTTTTCTCCAAAAAATAAGATATCTGATAATTTGAGTTAGGAAAAATTAAATAAAAATAATAAAATGTAAAAAATGATTAAAATTCTACGATTTTTAAAAGAAAATTAAAAGATTGTAAAAATAAAAATTAAAATAAAATTAAGCTAAAAGACTAAAAATTAAATACTAAAATTATTAAAAATGCCAAAAAAAGAATAAAAAGAACTAAACCAAACCCGACTTATCAATACTACACACTCAGCATTGAAGCTGAGTAAGCATATCTAATGCGTCAAACATCCATATAAATTGAATCTCAATTCATAATCAAATCATTTGATATCATGCACATAATGTTCAGTTCAGATATTCAATAATCAAAATTCAATATTCATTATTCATTATTCAACATTCAACATTCATATTCAACATTCATAATGCTCATAAACTATTTTTAGTCTAAAGTCAATTTAATTCTTAAACTAATTCTAGTTTAAGGTACTTTAATGTTTACCAACTCTTAAATGAATTCTAATTTAAGGTTCTTAAACTATATTCCAGTTTGAGATACTCCCAACAAATTTTCAAACTATGCCTAATTTAAGATACAATTTTTCAAAAAGGTTTTCAAAATCATAAACTTACTTTCGCTTAAGGTCAACCAGAAACCGAACAACAGAATACTCACTGTCGGGTTGGGTGGTATCTCTAAACGAGTGATCCCCAAGTTTGGTTTACAGGTTCTGTACGTACGTTTTTACCCAAGCCACCGAATATTCATAGTTATACCCGCAAGGCCTATTTCAATTCGAATCTATCTTAGAGGTGTTCTAGATAGTATTTGAAACCGATGTCAACATGGATATATCTTTGAGTTCTTCTAGACATCCTTACAATACAATTCATTTCATAATCATCAATGTATTCATTTTAAATCATGTTTCAATCATTCACAATAATCATTTTAATTACTAGATCCATCAAATCATAATCATCCATAATATTCATTCATCATAATCATCAATCAACATAACATCTAATATTGTGAAAAACATAAGATTTATTGTGAAAAATCATGCATCACATAAGATTTTATTACCGAGTGTTAACACCCTAACGTACCGTCATGGATCACATAAGATTTTATTTGTCAAAAACATCATTTTTATTATGAAAATCATCTTTGTATTTATCATAATTGATTGGTATCAAATATAGGATTTTAGAACTCAAAAATAGCATTTTCAAAAATATTTTTGGATAAGAAATCCGGGGGAATTGATCCAGTATTCTGTATCAATCCATGCTAGAGAAAAATATCCTCAGGTGATCGATCCAAAAGGGTGGATCAATCCACTCTGCTGGTTTTCGATCACTATTCATCTTCTTCTTCGTTCAGCCAGTTTTTCTCCAGTTCCAGTTTTGGTCACTAAACTTTAATTAAATTATATAGAAATTTTGTCCAAGGTTCATAGATATCATTAATTCATAGTTTTAACAATAATTTCGTGGTTTGTGATTCTTGGTTCTTCAAACATGAAAAACGAAAAATTCAACCAAATGACCATTTTTGAACGTAGAAACGATCTATACGAACTTTCTAGTCACTAGATATTTCTACGGGCTTACCTCGAAGCTTAATGAAGGTTTTGGAAATTTTCCGGTGAAACTTCTAGCGAGAATGGTAGCTAGCTCCGGTGACGGGAAGCTCTATGTACAGCACTACTTTACTCTTTACAATCACATCTCTCTTTTGGAGGAAGAATGATGAAAATGGTGAAGGTTTGAGGGGTTTATATAGTAGAGGAAATGGGAAGAAAACATGGGAGATGACCTCTCTACTACTGTTTTGGCGTCTCAATGAAGGGGGCTGCATGAGGTGTTTTCGATTCCAAACGCAAGTCCCTGATTGGGACTAATTTTGGTCCCAATCAGGGTACAATTTTTGGTCCAACTTTCTCTGAATCGAATTCTGATTGAACCGTTGCGGTCAGACAGTCCAACTCTACATAACGATATAATTTTCATTATTTATTGACAAACTTTATAAATCACTTATTTTTGGGTACTTCTCTGTAATTAATTAATTATTAATTAATTAATTAATTCACCATTTTTTGGCTTTGGAGTGTGATGGAATAAATCAAAATGGATTTCTAAACTGTCTGCGCTTCTTTAATTAATGAAGTAGCAATTAGTCAAGCAATGCGACTTTCAACGTTGAGCCGGGGGTCTCTTTGGAAACAGCCTCTCTACTTTCGAGTAGGGGTAAGGTCTGCGTACACACACCCTCCCCAGACCCTACTCTTGTGGGATTCAACTGGGTTGTTGTTGTTGTTGTTTTTAATTAATTAATTCTGATATGCCTATTTTTGGGGCGTTACATTAAATTATTTTGATTTATTATGTGTTTTAGATACCAGATTAGTAGCAACCTGGTACCATGTATTTGGGTTACGCGGGTTTGGGTGGTACATAAGATATGCAACCTCTCCCTCGATCGTTTCTTCGGCCACCTCAAGTAGGGGCATTGCCACGGTCAAAGGGTGGTCGACCGTCGCCTCCTCCTTGACCACAGCCTTGACCGTCTGAAGAAAAAAGTATTCTGTGAGGCCCTCTCGAAGCTCAATCAGTCAGACCCAGTTTTTGTTCCATGTCAAGATTAATTTCCTTAGAGATGAGCCATCCAGAAAGTTGATTGAGACTGATGTTTTTGTTTTGCATGCAGAAGTTTTCTTTAAAGGAAGGGTAGTCAGTGGGGAGACCACGAATAACAGCATCCACAACATCACATTCAGGAATTTCCTCATTTAACGCATCGAGTTTGCAAGAATAGAGGCGACTTCATAAAGATATTGAGTCATCTTTTTTATACCTTTTCGAAGAGTAAGAAACTCGTCCCGAAGTTGATAATTTGAGTAGTTGACACAGAATTATAGTGTGCCGCTAAAGCATCCCAGAGATAGTAGAAGTTGTGAAGCTAGCTCCCAGAGCATGTTTGTGAATGGCGGGGCTGATGACAGCGAGAAGACAAGCACGGAGTTGTGTGTCAATCACGATAAGCTTCAAGTGCAGTTCGAAAAGTAAGAGACCACACATGGTAATTTGTATCGGTGAGTTACGTTTTTCTGGAACAAGTTTATGGAGATTGCGGAGTAGAAGTTTTTCTCCAAAAAGAAGAGGAGCAAGAGGGTCCGTTGAGGCCATTTTGGCGGTCGACCGAAGGAGATGTGGCCGGCAAGTGGCACGGTTGGCCAAAAAAAGGTTTTGGAAGAGGAAGACCTTTGCTCTTATACCATGATATAATTTGGTAATAATTAGTCTGATTGAATAATGAATATATTACTTCCCTATATATCGGGAATACAAGAAAAATTCTAAGATTATAGTAACAGTTTAATAATGAAATAAGAATAAAGGAAGGTAATTAAATATAATATTTATTTCCTATTAGATACCATCTTTGACATCGTCTTAGTGTCTCTAGACACACAAACATTAACTATTTGTGTGGGAAGCATGTGTGTGTTTGTGTGTCTTAATTCAAATAAATAAAATAGTACAACCGTGTAATATGCGGGGGAAACTTTAACGTGAACTCTCATATGGAGTATATAAACACAAGAGAATGAGAGAATCATTAGTAGTAAATTTATTTATATTTAAATGTTTCTAGGTTTCGGTACAATTTATTAATTATCTGTTTTGGAAGTCAAGCTAAGGTACAATGCAAATTGGTACATAAAACTTAACAAATTATACATACACATAATAATAATAAGCATGCCAATTCCATAACCCATCATATTTAATGTAGCAAAATTAAAAGTTCCACCAACATTAACTTTAGATGGAATTTAGAGTAGACATATAATGTGCCTGTAAATTATTATTACTAGCATCATCTAGCAACCATTTCTCAATGACCGCCAACGGAACTTGACTCCCAAAACTATTTTCAATTTGGGGAGCCATACTTTGTTGTGTGGAACTGAACATTCTTTCGATCTCATAGTTTTGGTTGAAAATGGATTGATCAAAGTTCAAAATTTCAATGAGCTCCAAAGAAGAAGCGGCTTTTGGTGATGGCTTTTGGGAATTATTGGTCATTGTTGTCTTTGTCGTTGTCCAGCTCCGAAGTAGCCTGGCTATGTTTTCTTCACTGGTTGCATAAGTAGTGTTTGGTTGAGCCATTGGGGCCCAATCGAACGTATTATTATTATTATTCGCCACTTGGATGGGTTCGCCAATTGATGATTTTTTGTCATCGATTGATAAGGCCTCACTAAGGGCTCGTTTGGCCATTTGGATATCGGTTTGGAGCCTTCTCTCCCATTGCCCTTTAGAAGATGATGTTGAATTATGACCATGTTGTTGTCCATTATCATCGTCATGGACTTGGAGTGTGGTCTTGAGCTTCTTCTTCAGGTGAGTGTTCCAGTAATTCTTTATATCGTTGTCTGTCCTCTGGGGAAGGTAAAAAGCTATGGCTGCCCATCTACCATCAAAAGATTGATGATAACTATTCTAAGAATATTGTTATATGGACTTTGTATAAAATGGGGAAAAATCTCACAATGATAGTGTACAAAATGAGCGATTTTGCATTAATACGTGCTACAAAATTCAATAATGACGATTCAAATGTTCATGGAAATTTCATATTTGTATTTTTAATTCAATTTATTTGATAATATAGGAGCAAAATTGAAAAATAAAATTTATATATTTTAAAACTACATCAAAAATTATACAAAAAGAGAGGTGACATGATCATATTATTTTATCAAATAACTAATGAAATATGTAAACAAAGTGATTAAGGTTTGACCATGTGAATAGTGACTGAGAAGATCATTTTAGGATGGAGAGAGTATAAATTAATGAATTTGGGAGTAATTATGAAAAGTCGTGATTTTTTTTAAGTATTCGCGTGAATTTTTCTTGTTAAAAAACCTAAATTGCATTATAACTTAAAAACTAAATAATAAAAAAAATAATTTGCGTTAGTCTAATAAATTGTGAATAATGTTTCATACAAAAAATTAGGAGTAAATAATTTTGAAGTTATTATTTCGTACGTGGAAGTTGATTCTTCCCATTTGACTTTTTGTGATAAAAAATGTAAATATATAGTACCAAAAAATACAGTATAACCGATACAGTGAGATGCCACTTTACAATGCTAAAATGTTACCGTGCAAATTCTTCTTTTGAAAATAAAAAAATTGAACTTTTATTTTGAAAATAAATGCTATGTTTTACTTTTATTTGTTTATATTTTGTAGAAAAGGGTGAAGTGTCACCATCCGTTCATAAATTTTAGGTTCATACCCCAAACCCCCCACATCAATTTCACCTCTACCCCCACCTCCACCCCCTGCCCCCCACTCTGTATCAGTGATTTGACAGATTTAAATATGTCAAATCGGTAATCCAAGGTGGGGGCAGTGGAGTGGGATGAAATTGTTGTGGAGATTTAGGAAATTAAGGGGACAGGAGGTCTCAAGGCACCATAATTACACCTAACGCCCATGCACGTTATCCACATTTTAACGTCATCGATGCATTAAACACCCCTCACCCCATGAGCATAATCATGGCGTTAATGTCATTGCGTTAAACAACCTTTGACGCCGGAGAGGAACGTTGCCCCCGCCCCCCCAACTGTCTAATTTTGGGCTGTGGGTCAACTTTCTTAAAAAAAATAATTTTTCAACTATAAATCCTCCCTTGTTTTTTCAAAAATATACACACACACACACAATATATTCTCATTCTCTCTATAATTCATCCAAAAATATTCTATTTCTTTTAAATCTCTCTACAAAACATCCAAAAAATTGGATCATCTTCATCTAACGATGAAAGGAGAGCGCTCATTTTTCATTGTCTCGCGATGGGCTATTACCAATGGTGGCAACAAGCACAGCAAGAGGAAGCAGAATCGTCCCCGTGCTCGACCCGACATGAGCGTTTAAACGTACCATGATATGACGGGTGCAACGAAGCACTACTCAATAACTACTTCAATACTTCGTGTATTTACACACCAGAGGATTTTAGTAATCATTTTCGGATGACCTATTATATTCTTTTTTATGCATATTCGCCGATATTGAATGCGAAGTGCCTTAGCTCACTCAATGGTTTGATGCGCGAGGCCGGCACAGTTTTAGTAGTGTCCAAAAGTACACCGCCGAGGAGGTGCCAATGTACGGGTTTGCAATTTGTCTTTACAACTCGGACGAGAAGGTGCTTACGTACTAAGAAATTGACGAATAAAAGAAACGAAGAAACCGTCAAGAAATTTGAAGTCGAGAGATTCACAATGCATATTTTGCACATATTCAAATAATCATTAATTTTTTCGTAATGTAATGTGATTTTAATTTTATTTATTTATGTTGTTATTATTATTTTTTGTTAATTTAATTTTTTTATTTAATAAATTATTGTAGTTTAAATTTAATTAACTAATGAATTCTTATTAATTTACTTTTACAAAAGTGTGTATTTAATATTATTTTTTCTAAATAATATACCATATAATTTTTATACTTAGTTATAGGTCAAAAATTAAATTTGATTGATTTTAAAAATTCAAAACTGGATAAATATTCTAAGACACACGGAGTTATAATTTAGATACTCCCTCGTTCCAAATTGATTGCTATTTTTCATCACTCGATAACTTTTGTTTATTTAATGTTTTCATTGATAATTTGACAAAATAAGATACTCATGTCCCCTCTTGTTTTGTAAACTTTTATATAGTTTTTTATGTATATATTTTTATTTCTTAATAATATACCAATTTATAATAAAAACTTTTGTTAGTAACTCCCATTTTGTAATCAAAATGGTATCATATCCAAAATGAGTGTACATGGATGGGAGACTTGGAGTATATATAATATATAGATACCTATTGCCAAGAAGAGCTTGGAGATGAAAGATCATCTTCTCTTCTTGATCCGTAAAATTGCCGCGCTTTATCCCTGGGCGCAGATAGTTTGTCCATCTCAGCCTGCAGCTTTTGCTGCACCTCTGCAACCCTGCAAACCAATCAACCATCAATTCATCCATCAACCCAACAAATTAAACCATATAAATAACCCTAATTATTAAAAAATGAATTATGGAAAATATTTCTATAATATTTTACTCCCTCCGTCTAAAACTAAGAGTTCGTGTAGTCCATATATATCAGTAGTCCATATTTTTTTAATAGCCCATGTTTTTTAATAGTTTAAAAAGATAAAATTGTGTGATTTATAATGCATGATATATTAAGGAGACACAAAAAATATGCTTTCTCCGTCCACCAAAATATTTCCTCCTTTATTTATTTCTACCTCTTCCATCAAAATGCTTATACTTTCTATTAAAAAAATCACTTTTACCCTTACTTTTTCTTACCCTACCTATAACATCTTACTTTTTCTCTAATAATTTATCCACCGCATTTTATTTTTACTCATCACATCAATAATCTACCATTAGTATAAAAAAAAAGTAGACTATTAATTCAAGACAGAAGGGTATACTCCCTCCGTCCCCAATTTGACTACAAATTGGGGTTTACGAGAAAAAATTTCTCACTTTTTGAAAATTATTTTATTTACAAATCGATATATCAATAAGAAATAAAAATCACATATTAAAAAAGTACGTCAAAATTCTAAAAAAGAAAAGGTGACAAGAATATTTTATTTTACCAAATACTTAATAAAATTGTGTAAACAAACAAATGTTATCAAAAAGAAAGAGAAAAAAAATCAAAATAGGGATGGAGGGAGTATATATTATGCCAGTATTGGTAGGAACAAGTCTCCAGTTGCCAGGGCCATGCTTTTGGATGTATGAAACCAAAATGATATCTTCTTCTGGAGTCCATGGCCCCTTCTTCACCCCTTTTTTATCACAACAACCTGGCGCCCTTCCCATGGTTCTTCATATATATATTCATTCAAAACATTACTCTTTTTTATTATATATTATAAATACCAAATAAATTAACACTCTTAATATATATATAGAGAAACCATGGGCAAAGAGGAGCCATATACTCCCTCCGTCCCTAAATATTCACAACATTTGCTTTTTCAGGAGTCGCGGGAACTTTGTTTACTTCGACATTTTCATTGGTTATTTGATAAAATAAAATATTCTTGACACCTCTTATTTCGAAGAACTTTTCATGTAGTTTTTTTATATGTAAATTTTATTTTTTATTTTTATACCAATATGTAAATAAAATGAATTGAAAAAACCTGATATTTTGCCTCGGGAATACAAATGTGGCAAATAATTTGGGATGGAGGGAGTATATAAAATGTATATTCATATTGTGTAGTGGTGGAAATAGAGAAAGACAAAAGGAGATAGTAATACATCTCGATAACGTTATTGACCGAAATTATTAATATTATTACAGTATACGTGATCATGTGGAAAGGGCTATCTATCCACAGAGAGAAAATAGTCAACGGAGGAGTTTAAGGTGCATTAACTGCTTAAGCTTGCATGCAAAAAAAGTCAAAAAGTCTCGTCATATGCTTTTTTATTGATTTGTTTATTTTACTCTGGTTCTAAAAAGGTGAAATTGCTGGCCTCTTCTCTAATAATATTGTGAGAAAATGTAAATCATAGTGAGAGTATTATATTACTTACGGTCAAATATTAACCACTTTTTTTTATAATCAGTTTTCGTTACTCATTAGAAAAAAAAATAATATAGTGATGCCATCTAGGTGAGCATGGCATCAAATATTTTAGTTTGGTATGAATTTTACTATCCCGATCACGAAATGTCAGTTCGGTATAACTCGGGATGTTTCAGTATCTGTTTCGATACAAATCGGGATGAATACATACGCACTTAATTTTTAAGGTGTCACATAATAATTTGTTTTTTAAGAAAATCAAAAGAACATTTAAAAAAGAAACATAAAAAACTAAAAAATGAAAAATTAAATGTAAGGAATGCTTATGAAACTTAGCTTATATTTCACAAACTAAATTGAGAGATGATAACAAAATGATATTTCAAATGTGTGTTAATTACCTCCTCATGTTCCCAATACTTAACCAAACATTTTGTTCGGAACGGCTCGACAATTTAATGGTATTTGTTCAGTTTGATATTTTTCAATTCGGTTTTCTTGGTTTTTTCGGAAATTTTTGATATCGATTCGCGTGACTGGTCTTGAGAATTCAACGGCCAGGACCCAGACAGATTAAAAGCCCTACAACTCTTATCCCTAATAGTCTACGAATTAAAATATGTAAACTAATTATATTTAAATGACAATTAATGCAATAGTATTATACAAAAATATGTAAATGCCAAAATCATAGTAGTATAATTACATACCGTAAAATCTGCTAAAAGTTACAACGGGAATAATAAAAAAATATTGATAATAATCCGAACTTATAATCCGTTCGGATTTTACAATTGAAATAAAATAAAGAAAAATTGATTCTTCGGGAAGCTCGAACGGGAACGGACAGTGGACAGAACAGGAACACAAGCGGAGCAGGTGTGTCGCCCCGCCCCGCCGCGACGCGCGCGTGCGTAACGTGCCGGTCGAACGGCGGCGCACAAGGAGTCCTTTCTTGTTCCTTTCATAAACTCAATTAAATGTTTAAGTTTAAATATGAGAATACGAAAGGTTCACAAACCGGTGTGGGAAAGGGTTTACTCTTTTCTGATATTCAACTTTGAGAATTAATTTCATATTCACCCGAGCACCATTTATGGCGTGTAATACTCCCTCCGTTCCACAAAACCTTTCCGGTTTTGACTTTGGGGAAAAATAAGGAAAGTGTAATTTTGGTTGACTTTCCAATTTTGCCCCTGATGTGATGGGAAAAAGTAAGATGTGATAGTTTGGTTATTAGTGAAAAAGTATGATGTGATAGGTAGGGTATGAAAAAGTAGGGGTAAAAGTGGTTTTTTAATAGAAAGTGGAAATGTTTTGTGGAAAGCAAAAAAAAGGAAAGGGGAAGGGTTTTGTGGAATGGAGGGAGTATGTCGAAACATTTATCTCACTTACGAGATTAAACGTGCATAATTATTTCAGAAAATAATTTTGTGGACCCCACTGAATTTTTGTCCGAAAATGTCCATTTTATCTAAAAAAAATTCCAACAAAATCAAGTACAAACTTTAAATTTAATTTCCATGAAAACAAATTTTATATATTATATGAACAAATTTTGAAATCAAAGACAGGCTCACTATTGTGTTCTTGAACTATGTTAGGGTACACAACAATCATTTATCAACTACTCCCTCCGTTCTCAAAAACACTTCCTCTTTCATTTTTTCCACTTCCAATAAAACACTTCCTCTTTCTATTAAAAAACCACTTTTACCCTTACTTTTTCATACCCTACCTATTACATCATACTTTTTCTCTAATAATCTATTCATCACATTTTACTTTTACCCATCACATCAGGGGCAAAATTGGAAATCAACTATAATTTAACATTTCTTTATTTTTGCTCCAAATCAAAATGGGAAGTCTTTTTGCAAATGGAGGGAGTATAAGAATAAAATTGTTGTTGCACGAATACATATTGTCTGCGATAAGGATAATTTTTTCTGTATGGTATACATTTTTTAAATTCTTTCTTTTTTTCTTAATACTTGGAAAGTTTAGCGAATATTTTTTACTTCAAAACGCCTCCCAAAACGTATTTTGCAGTGAAGATTTTCCTCAAATGGTGTGCCAGAATCCAGACCCAAATGCAAAAACGTAATTTATTTCAAGAAACTTTTGCACCAAATATAATTAAAATACAAGTCATTTCTCAATGTAGGACTTAAACTTTTTTATTTCTTAAATAGGACTTTATAATATCTCGTGGGATGAGTAATGTCTGTTAGTTTTATAATATTTCTCTAATATGTATCCTATGAGAAGGTATATGGTACAACCAGATGTATATAGAGATAGGTACATCCGAGTTGTACACATTCTGAAACAAAGTAGTACTCATTCTCACACAAACATAATTATTTATTTTGAAAACGTGGTACTCATTCTAAAATAACGCAGTACTCATTCTAAAATAATGTAGTACTCATTTTCACACATTTATTCAATACAGTTATAATATTTATCCACAAATAATGTAGTGTTTATTCTGAATAAAAATAGTACTCAATCTCAAAAAACTTAATACTCATTCTAAAATAAAATAAAACACATACCATAAATAACCTTTTTCTATTTTTATGCAAATAGGGTTTCATCCCAGCCCTCCTCCACCTGCTTTCTTTCTACCCGACCCGCTATAAGTAACACCGCCGCCACCTTCTCCTTAGATCTTCCTTCTCCATCGTTTTCTCTTGATTTTCGCCACCATTGCTCTTCTTCGTCTTCGCTCCTCCATCATCTTCCGTCTTCGCTGCTCTTCGTCATCACCGCCGCCACCTTCCGTCTTTCTTCTCCGGTGGCCTGACACGGCCGAGGAGCGGCACTAATTCCGGCAGCTTCAGTTCCATCTCATTCCCTTCTTCAATTAGCCGGTTGTACCCAAAAATAGGTACAACCGGATGTACGATATAATTTGCGTGTATCCTATGAGTTGGCATCATTTTTGACAACACACAACTACTAGAATAGAATAGGTGTAGTGTCCTTATGTTAGTAGAACTGGTCATCCTACATATTAAGCTGTCGAAACTAGGATGCTACACAGCAAGTCATTAGCTCAAAGAAGCACTTCTTTTCTTTCAAGGAATCTGGCTGCTCGAAGACTCCTACTGGACCTTGTTGACATAGGCGTGCGCAAGAGTCCTATAGGCAGTTGGTTAGCGTTACATCCTATGGAAGTTCATATATTAAATAAGGGGTTAAACAGATGGTTGGGCGAACGAGAGAAAGAAGAGATATCAGGCTTACAAGAGAGAATATACTTGGCGTTCATCCATCACAGAGAAGAGTTTATCATATACATATACGTGAGGTCACCAAAAGAAGATAAGCTGTGGATCTTCTCTGAAGTTTTTGTTCAGCTGGTGAATCATGGAAGGCTGAGCAAAGGTCAAGACCCATCCTTATTGTAGAGCGACGAGAAGGTGCACTACAAGAAAACTGTCAATTTGCAACGGACAATTTCCGTGGCAGATTTTGAAATTTCGTGGCAGATTAGCAATCTGCGACAGAACTGCAACGAATATTTTCCGTCGCAGAAAAGTTGTGGCAGATTGAAAATCTGCGACGGAAATAAGATTCCGTGGCAGATCTGCCACGGACCTGCAACGGGTACCTTCGTCTTTTGCACCCCAAAGATCTGCGACGGAAGTATTGAAACCGTCGCAGATCTGCGACGGAAATAGCGACGGGGATGTCCGTCGCAGACAGGCGACAAAACGCAGCAACAAGAATTTCCGTCGCAGACAACCTGATCACAACACCAGCATTTTCTGTTTTTTCTGTTTTTAGGCAGTAGCAGGGGCAACACATTCAAATTTCACACGCATAATTCTAAACAAAATTTCAATACGGAATAGATAATTCAAAACGAGATTAATTAAACCTTCACGTGCAAATGTAACATAATTCATAATCTTGTAAAAACACGAAATATTAAAGTGCTTGTTTCAAATGTCAAAGATGTCAACAAATCCCGGGCTGTCCCGCCCCTCCCATTCCATCGTCATCGCCTCGTNGCGTGGCTGGCGGGGCTGGGCGGGACGGCGTGGCAGGAGGGCTGGCGTGGCTGGCGAGAACGTTCGTCGGCGGCGAGGAAGGGCGTTGAAGGCTGGCGGAGGAGTGGCGTTCGCAGGATGGCTGACCGGGAGAGAGACGGGATAGGGTTGAAGTGAAAGACGAATGGCTGGGAAAATTTCAATATCGATTATCACTTCAGAAGCTGCGACGGATCGGTGACGGATATATAACTCCGTCGCAGATTATCACGTCAAAAATTGACCAACTTAAATTTGCGACAGCCACAAATAATTCGTCGCTAATTTGCGACGGAAAAATAGGGTCCGTCGCAGATTATGTTTTTTTTCAAGGATTTCAACTCCGTCGCTGATTCGTTGCAGATCTGCTACGGAAATGAGTCTGTATCATATTTCCGTTGCAGACGAGACAAATTCTTGTAGTGGTGTAATGGGCCTGGTGTGACACAAACAGAGTTTGGTGTCTGATCACGTA